TCGCCCCGCCCCCGCCCCTGCCCCACGCCGCACCCGCACCCGCATCCGCATCCGCATCCGCACCCGCATCCCCACCTTGCACTAACTGTCTCTTGTGCCATTAATACAAATAAACGTCTTTACCAGGCTTCGCCAAAAATAGACCGAGCTCGGTCCCTTCAATGACGCTATCCTCACCAAAGTACCGGTAGTAGATGTTTGCACATTTTCCCGGAAGTCTATACCGACTTTTCCCAGTCACCTGTAACCCGATGCCGAATGCTGGACAGACATGACGTCGGACTTTCAATGATAAAAGGACCTGTTATTATTTTATGACAAGTCATTTGTAAGAATACAGCATGTCTCTTTTATTGCAAGTAAATAGTTTTCGCACTTGCTTCAAAAGGGCTCATGACTCGTTCGACCAATAATGTACGGTGACTTCGTTTAATGAATCTCTTTGTAACTAATCTGGCCCCTATCCGAGAGATATTATACTAAGATAGATTTATAAAATTACTTATCATGAAGACTCGACGAATTTGAGAACAAGGCATACAACGGAAAAAATTCGTATAAGCAGCCTTGGAAGTTGGAAGCTGCCACGTCACTAAACACCTGAAACACCACTCTCGATCGGCTACGATACCATGTATGCTTTGCGTGGTAAAATATCCAAGGCGGTTTCAAGGCGGCCCACCAATATAGTCAAAATGACACCAAGTAAAATCCCGGCGAGAAGAGCCCCAGGATGGTTCAGGCGACGGTCAACAACAGCCATAGCATCCCCCAGTGGGAGAAACTCTCCATTCATCTGCCTCGCTTCACGCAGGCCCAACAGCCCGTCGAGACTGCGAGTGTTCATCTTGAGTATGTAGTCATCTAGACTATTCTTTTTTTCCATTTGTTTCAACGCCTTCTCCAGAGTCGGACGATCAGAGAAACACGAACATGCCCCTGCAGGCGAAGTTTCAAGATGCTTCGCGTGAGCGTCCCTGTTCTCAACGACCGGCACTCCGTAGCCGCACGATGTCTGCGCCTACAGCCCAAAGTAAACTTAGATTACTCCCTCTCTGTATCATCCGAGTCTGCCAAGCTCGAAATCGGGTATGCTCACCTTTCGCACTTGAAGCAGAATCACAGCTCTGGTGCCTGCTACGGGTGTCTTTCCCATATCATCCAAAAGTTTGGCAAATCGGAAGTCATTTCTCTCGACGACTGTGCCAGTGCAGAACAGTCGCATGATTCGTGGCTTGCTGTCAATACTGCAGAACATGATGGTGACCCGTCCATTCTCGTAGATGTGGGAGATTGTTTCGACCCCGGATCCGGCGGTATCAATGTAGGCTACGTGGTTTCCGTCAAAGATGTGAAATGTTGCCGAGGTGAGCCCTTTGGGCGAGAGATTGATGTGCCGACCGTGCAAGGGCGCCGTCGCGGTGAAGAAGAGAGGCTGTTCCAGAGCCCATTTTTGCAGGCTTTCGGGTATAGAGTCGTAAAAATGAACCATGTTGTATTGTCGGAGAGAATAAAGCGATTCGTGTTGATGGACCGTTGGGAGGGAATGACAATGCGTTTGCTTCATGACATTTGTAGGCAAGGACAAATTTTGTGTTCTCCGCACGTGTGGAATAGAGTTCCTCACGGTTACATTTTGATGGCAGTGCAGACCCAATTTGGTAAAAATCCGATCCATCTCATGAGTCCGCGGACAATCGCGGACCGTCGCAATTTTCGGAACGCCGGAGATATTTGGAACGCGCCAGCTCAGACCTGTCTGTGCTATCATCATCATACTACCGTTCCGCTTATAGCCGGCCCGATGGACAAATGACCATTGAACTAAATGTAAGAATTGTTAAAAGCGCGATACGCCATCATGCTCGACAGCAGCCGCTCCATGGATTCATTTCTTTCTGTCCCTATCCAAAGTTACACTTATTCTATTTAACACAATGTCGAAAGAATTCACCATCGAAGAGCTTTCAAATTACAATACGAAGAAGGAGCTGTTCGTAGCAATCAGGGGATACGTCTACGATGTCACAGGCTTTCTCGAGGACCATCCGTACGTTTCAAGTTTTCCCGTCGCGCAAGTTTGCCGATTTCACACTGTTAACACGCTGTACTGTAGGGGCGGGGATGAGGTGTTGATGGACGTGGCAGGACAAGAAGCCACGGAGGCATACGATGACGCTGGCCATTCAGAGGACGCAGATAAAACTCTCGACAAGTTTTTGATCGGCAGACTAAATGCTCCGGCTGGTGCTGGTGCTGGCAAGACTAGAAACAAGGGTACCGTGGGTAGTACGCAGAAAAGCTTACAAAGTCTCCTTTTGAGGACCATGTTTTATCTGGTTGCTATTTTTGTGGGCGCAGGAGCGTTTTCGTACTTGAAAATATATATAGGTGGAAGTTGAGATGTACACGCTCAAGAGGTGGTGAATTTCTCCGACTAATAAACGGATTTGATTTACGTGGACATGATGCCTCTTTTTAGTAACAATGAAATAGCCAGATAGAGTTCAGATAAGACGCATAAACCCCATTAATAATTAATATATTGTTACCAAGGCTGTTCTGTGACGGCATCAGGCGATTGTAGTAGTGCAGAATGAAGTTCCCGGTCTTGAGTGACATGGGGAGAAATGATGTCGGCTGCGCTACCTCTTGGTGAGAGAAGGTAGTTGGCGTCGAGGGGCGTAGTCGGCGCTATCCCACCGCAAAGGAAAACACAGAATAACAAAATTCGGTCCAGAACGGGGTCTCGAGCGATGTAGTCATCACAGTAACAGCCACCGGCATATCTGTCCTCCAAATACACAAGTCTAGTATCGTACGCATCTGGCAGGCCTCTACACGCAATTACACTACGGTGTGACCACATTCTGCCAAGCGGTCGAGCATGACATCTACGGATTGTTAGTAGGTCGGATTTTTCGTTGCGCGCATAGTAGATGCTACGCGTTGTATGCTGCCCAGGATGGAACTAACTTGCCGCTCTCGAGACTGATCCAAAGGTCCGAAGAGCCTTGCATATTTCCGCAGTGCCTTTTTCAGAATCCCCAGCCACAGCGTCCAAATGAAAAGCAGACTCTGCAGCCTGGAAGAAGGTAATCGTGATGGAAGGAGTTAGAGCGGTCAAGTAGTCGGATTGTCTCTCGAGATGACCATTAAAATGGGACGCCATGTCAATCACAAACTGCAGCGCAAACTTGATAGCCAACTTGGCGAATTGGACATTATTGTCCGTTTCGTGCCGCATTTGGTCGTCTGGCATGATGCGTTGGGGTGTCAAATAATGGCAATAGAGGGTAAGCAGAGCACTATATGCGCAGTCAGTCACACAGAGTTCGGCGCGAAAGGGGCTGCGGTGGAAGGATGTTAAGCCAATCCACCTTCTGAGGTAATTTGACCTTATACACATGGCAAAAGAGCCGCAGCAAACTTCCCATGTATCGCATTCGTCCGACATTGTGTTCAGCAGGTCACGAAGTTTCTCATCCAAGTCTGAAAACTCGGCCACGCCGGGTAGTACCAAGGCTTGGGAGAGCCTCGACCGCCAACGATGGGCGTCATGCAGGAGAATGGCCGCTTGCGCAGCTCGCTGAAAACTGCCGAGGCTGATGGAAATTGGTGAATTTGACGGAATGTCCTTGACAAATAGTCGATAGGCGTGACCATCCCAAAGATAGCCTGTATTTGGCAACAAATCATCATCTCCGGGGCGTTGGACGATGAATGGCAAATCTTGAGTCGAAGGGTCCTGATGGACAATTCTATTCCTGTATTAATAACAACAATGGGTATACGCGGTGGGTTGAAACGAGACTATACGCACTGGTCAAGAATGAATAACGTCCACCATAGAGCTCTCTGGTATATGCACTTGTCAGTCTTTTGTTTTCCCGCCCCAAGTCCAAAAATGCTAGCCATGCATAGAGTGTCAGTCAAAGTGCGAAAGGCTAGCCTTGGTTCCCCATACTCGAGTTCAAATAAAGTAATCATGGCGCCGCATTGCATAAGTTCCATGGCCGGATCTGATAGACAGACAAGTAAAGCCCACGCCTTTTTCGTCGCCTTGTAGACAGCATCTAGTGTGGCATTCTCTGTGTCTGGGTATCGTGCCGATTTTGTCACAAGATACATGCTTAGGATTAATAGTATTTGCTCAGCGGAGGCGATACTTTGTAGCTGGGATGCCGCGAGGTCATGGTCCTTCAGCCGGGCGGAAACCAATCTATCAAAGTTGCGCCGATTCATGATGGGAAACCACTAGACGAACACAAGTTAGACTGCACCTCTGAGGACTCAAAGACGTCCACCAATGGCAGCCGGTATAAGCCAGATGGTGGATCACTTACATGATATGCAGTCTCAAAGTACTTCTCCATTGTGTAATGCCAGTCGATGCCGTATGTTTGAAGTATAGAGCCAAGATGAGAGGCCCGTATCGTGCCATTGCCGATGATGTCGACAGAGATTCCGCCTGCCGGGCACTCGACTCTGTCGTCTGTGCCATGAGGACTAACCGCTGAATCATGAGTTGCTGTCGATGTATGGTTGTATATACATGGAAACCTGAGCCTTGAAAAAAGATGTCGAGTCAGCAGGTTATCCTCCATACCGGGCCACTAGCCGAAAAGATACCGTTGGCAGCGCCCGCACTGCGGCCAATTCCTATCACATCTTCTCTTGCCATGTGTGCATTTATCGCAGGCTCGGGCGGCATATCCTTGGGCCTCTGATAACTCAGGTCGGACCATTTTCGTGCAAGCAATGCGGAGAAGTCATTTGGTTGTGGGAGCAAACTTGGCAATTTCTGACTCAGCAACCATCAATTAATGTTACTGGATACACCTGCACACAGTGCCGATTGGCCAGTCTGTCCCGCCCTGGCTATCAAATGGACTGTTCGCGCCGCGCTAGTCGGTCCGATGGATTTTGCCTTGTTTCTCGTGGAATAGGAACGGAGCAAATTCGTGGCCAACAAGCATTGAATGCACATCGATGCGACCAGACCAGACGACAACTGACTCAGATGCCCAAGCGCTCGCAGCCTAACCCCCCCCCGGGATCATTGTACGTAGCTTAGGCAGCAGCCAAGCATGTCATGTCAAGTGCCCCGTGCCACATAGGGAATGTTCGTTCTGTCGTGGGACTACCGTCGATATTTCATCAATTGACATTACTCCGTACTGCGTCCCGAGGCCTTGCGCGTACAGTCCGGGGCATCTCAATCATCTAGTCAATAGTATAAATCCTCAGCCGTCATGTCGCTGTACCAACTTCCCCCGGAGATTTTACTCTACGTCTTCCGCTTGCTAGGCCCAGCTTTCTTCCGCCAAGATGCTCGTCGCCTTCTTGTCTCCAGGCAGTGGTACCAGCTTGCTAGGCCAGTTCTTCTCCAAGACCTAAATTTCTCTGCAGAATCACTTCGGAGCTTCGTTCTCGCTACGGAGAAGGTGGGCATGATTCGTTCGATACGAAATCACGTAAAAACACTCAGCCTTGCCCTTGATGGCTTTGAGAACTGGCATTCAGCCCAATTCGAGCCAAGTAGCGCAGAATTGTCCGGTATCGACCTCCAAACTATGAATACATGGACCTCCGAGTTGAATGACTTCCTGGTTGCTCTTGCTGGCATACTCCAACAATGTACGAGGCTGCAGTCTCTCAAACTTGAGGCACGACCGGAGGGACATGGCCCACGGGTTGGTCTTCCTCGCCGCGACTATTTGATGGCATCGCCTCTGGCTAGCCTTGTCTTCATCAGCCGCCTTACATGCCTTGAAATTGATACAGGCGGTACGCATCTCATTCAAAACAATACCTCCAAAATGCATCTTTGTGCCAACATCAACAAAATGCTTCCGACTCTTCGGCGATTACGCTGCCGGACGAGTGACATCTGTCCTCGGATCTTAGACGTCCCGGGAAACGGCCCGCTTATAAGTCTCGAGGATTTCGTCATCAATTTGAGTCTTTCGGAAATGTCTAGTTCAGATACTTCATATCGATACCCAAGCCGCTGTGAGCGTATTCCCGGCGACAGTTTTCCTCGATTAAAGGCCGATGTAGAATCCCACGCGAGAGAGGTTGTGCGAATGATGAAGAATCCACGCATTGCAAGGATCGTGTCTCATACGTTTCCTGGTCTGAAAATGCATTCGTTTGATGCTATAACGGGACGCCGAATGCTACTTTCCTCCGCCGCGCCATGGGATGCAGACGGCGACGAAATCGAAGAGAGAGTTGCAGTCCAAGATCTCTTCGACTCTGATTCTTCGTCTGAAGAGTTTTTGCTATAGTGTCGCATAAAGACTGGGCATGACGAGATACATAACAAGTCCAACTATATACTTCAGGCACGAGGCTATCGCGAGATGGCCTTGGCTAGCGGCCGCGGCGCGGCACCAATTGCGCTGAGACGGTCTACTTTTCTAGTGTCCTACTGTCCTTGGCCTGGTACAGCCCAATACTGTTTTAGATTGTACGCATGCACGATACTTGTATCATGTGTGTGATTTTATTTGGCTACAGAGCGAAACAATTGAACATTAATATACCTCAGGCACTTTGCATATTATAAAACTCGGCTCAGGGAGCACAGTGCAGAGCCGTCGAGCGCTGGCTCTATTATTTGGGCCTATCTAATAAAGTTTGATTCCTCCATAGACGGCAACTAGCTGCTCCCATGATACCTTGTCCCCATAAATGAGTCTGGACACCAACCGCCCATCACATACAGCTCGATGTGGGCGGCTATAGGTGCATCGATGAGTGATTTCGGCTCGTTTGGAGCCGAGAATCATGGAGAGCGTTGTTTTCCGGCTAATAGCTGCTGAGGATTGTTCTTGTTCTGTTTTATTTATCAGCTCTTGCAAACAGTGGCGGGTTGCATCTCTGAAGGTCACGATCGGTTGGTTTTCTTGGTCCGGCAACGCGGGAAATGTGATGAATTCCGGCGAGACAGCCAGACGCTCCAATGGGGCAGTCGCCGTCAGACTCCAATCAAGCACGCCAGTTAAATTATACTCATCGTCGAAAAGAAGGTTTCCATAGTGAAGATCAAAGTGGCACAGGGGGAAGGGCCCATGAAGCCTGTCCTCAATAATAATATGAGAGATGGCTGTCTTTAAAACCCAGCAAGCGGTTGTCCACTCTGGATCGCTGGCATGCGCCTCAAGAGCACTCCTGTTTGCGTTCTGCCGCGACAGATAAAACCACTCTAGCGATGTTTCAATATGTGGCATCGGCGAGGCCGTATCCTCTCTCTCCCATGGAATAATCGTAGGGGGCTCATCGCAGTTCTCGCCGCACCAGATCCGCCCAAGACGATCAAAAGATAGGTTTTCAAGTTGGAAGAGGACATCTGCCAGCTGCCTTGCAACTTGTGGAAAGCACTCAGCCGGTACTTTACTCGCAATGGTGGAATCGAGGACTCGGCCTTTCAGGCGCTCCATGAGGATATACGGAAAGCCAAACTCGTTAGATAGCGAAGTGTCAAAGACAAAAACCTCTGGAACTGGTATAGTCGTTCGGCTTTTGAGAGTCTTCATGGTGGCGATTTCACTCAGCATATCCATGGCATGGTCGCGGGCGCGAGACAAGTCCACTGGTACGTGGTGAACCCTAACAATCCAATCAACATCATCGGAAAACCCAACATTCAGCACGAGATTGTTCATGCCGTATGTGAAAGTCTTCGAGTCAATTGTGCAAGTGACGCCTGTTGCAATGCTTTTATCTCGAGCTTTGCGGGAGAGGAGCGCCACCTCTTGGAGGTATTCAAAGTTGGCAGTGGCCAGAACCGCCTGGATTTGCCCGTGGATCTTGTTGGCGCCTGCATCCAGGCTGTCGGACGTGACCCAGTTGGCGTTTGGGGACGTATTCGGCATATTGAAGGGATTCTTTGTGTCTTGGTATTGTTTGTCGTCTCTTTGCTAAAATCTGGATGGGAGAAGATTATGGCCCTTGCCTGTAGTTACTGAGAGTAAAATTTGCATCGACACCCCAAAAGCTCAATAGGTTCGGCCTGCAACTTGCATCAACAGCTGTTAGTCATTCAATGTTGGCAGAAGGAAGAATGGCGCTGTGACAAGGGTTCAGTATGAAGGCTCGGAGCAAAAGGGGCTCAATTTAATAATAATCTCGAAGGGTCTCTAAGGACTTGAGTTGCTACGAGAAAGGAAGAGAAGGGTGGCCGCCTTATATACACAAAAGGAACGCCCGGGCCTAGGGACCTTGCCCGGGCACGTGTTCTAGCTGTGTAACCAACAAGTCCTGTATCGGCGAAGCCCCTTTGTTGGGCTTCACGATCTGTTGGGCCTTTTCCGTGTAACAAGCTGTTAGTCATTTAGTGTTGGCAGAAGGAAGAGTGGCACGGTGCCAACCGGACTTTATTAGGGGACCACGTAGGTTGATGCCTAAATACCCCGACTGCCTTCAAAGTTCCTACAAAAAGGGCGTCGGGTATCAAATATGGATCGAATCTGGTCAATGCATAACTACATGTACAACCGGACATGACCCTTGAATGTTGCCGTGCGTCACCCTTGTGTTCCCAGATATTACAAGGGGGGTTACTACCAATTAAAGGGATTATTAGTAGGGGAAGATAATACATGATAAGCCGATGAAAATTAATATCTTATCAATACAAGTTACAATTACACTCCCTGCCAAGCTTTGTCATTACGCTAAAGACTATTGCTATTTCTATTGAGAAGGCCTAATTTCCCGACCTTACAGCTAGGAGAAGAGCAGAGGAGAAGTGCTTCAGAGAAAAGGGCTTAATATATAAAAGTCTTTGTAATTGCTGTAAGCCGTATCTTACCGTATTACTGTTTGGGAGGCTAAATAGTTGTTCCGATAAGGAAGTAGTAAACCGGGATGTATATGTCAACTATACAAGAGCACAAGATTTTTGCAGGGAGGCAGTCCTCTGTAATGGCTATAAAGAACGCCAGATATTATAGAGGAAGTCTATTGCTACGATCCTCTGCGGGCATTCTGGTGTGAAGATAAAGACGAACAAGTCGGATGGCTTCTGAGTAATTTAATAAGCGAGGTGCTCTGTGATAGTATTTATCTCCTTAACTATAATGAGTTTTGAAAGTAGCTAGAACTGTTATATAAGGAGCTATTCTAGGGCTAAATTAAATATTAATATCTAATAAGGGATGGGATTGAGACTGTAAATAAGTAATTTCCGCTATACTCTTACTGCCTGCCTGAGAAGATATATAAGAAAGAAAAGCTTAAGAATCGCGCGTATAAATAAGATCCGCAGGATCTAAACTTATTTGTTATTTTAAAGACAAGAATATAATATCGCAAGGAAGGGAAATCTGCTGGAGTGTGGACCAGCTAATGCGGAACTTATATAATAGTAGTAATAGACAGCTTAACCATGGTTAATGTGGTCAGTTCTAGTTTAATAGGTTGTATGTATTTGTGAAACCTGAGGATGGTTAAGGGCGATATCATGGCGCGTCGTACGACAAGAAGGTGGCGGAGGACCTTCGCAAAATCATAATGACCGATGAAGACTAGATATCGCCTAGCCATTAAAAAGATTCAAATATATATTTAAGAAATGTAGTCCCGGGACACTCTCTGGCCCAGCTCGATTTCCACAGGCGCTAACCGACCCATTACTTTCCTCCCATATTACTGCTTATAGATTGCGCAAGCAAACAATACAGCTCCAGCAACAGCCAGACAGTTTTATTGGACGGGTATTTAGTAGAAATAATAAGGTATAGGTAGACAAGTGCGCGCCAATATTAAGAGATGTCGAGGGTTCAGCCTACAGTTTTGTCTCTACAAGTAAAATCAATACTACGCCACCCCTCGCACGTTAGAGCTGTTCACTGCAAGGGGTAGAATTATCTAAAGGATGAGAATTTATAGGCCAAGTAGTTATTATTATTATATTGATTATTTAGAGCTGCGTTGCCCACTGGGCCTTGTTAGCTTTGACCCTTGAAGGTTGTAATAGGCAACCTACTTGTGTTGGGCTTCTTGTAACGGCTAAGGTTCCTAAGGGATAAACTAGTCGTAATTTATATTAGTAAAGCTACTAGGGCAGTTAATCTAAGCAGTTAAGTATTATATTAGTAATAGGTTATAAATTATAACTAAGTAATTAAAATTAAAAAGTTATAAGTAAAGCTTATTTAATATAATAATTTATATTAAAAGCTAAGAAGCTAGAGTTTATAGTTTATTTATAAAGTAAACTTAAAGGTTCTTATATATTATAGTTACTAGTTAATATAGAGGTAAGTATTTTTAATACTTACTTTTAAATACTAGTAAATATTATATATATTTACTT